AATAAATTTGATGGACTTATAGATTTGTGGATATATGAATTTTTGAAAACTTGAAGTATATATATATATAATTATTATATGCGTACAGTATGCATTTTTCTGTATGTACAAATATTCGATATATAATTTATTATGATAGAATCAAAGCTTCGTTACACAATTGAAAATGTCGCAAACGACATATACCTAGATTTTTATCGACAAATTTACGCAGAGAAAAAGAAGGAGCAGTAAATCGTTCCGTTTCTCCCTTCGTTGGATAAGTCGAGAGGAATAACTCGAGGGTGCGCGTCTAATTCCGAAGCACGTTAGATTCTATGGACGCGGACGCAAAAGAGCGCGAGAGATCGATAAATCGAGTGGCCGCTCGAATGGTAAACAAAAGCTGAAAATAAGAAAGGAAATCCTCGTTAAACCTCATTAAAATCAAGACAGTCATGCTCGAAGCATCCCTGAATTAATACATACGGTATACGGCGAAGAGGGGCTCTCGCATTCCCACAGCGAGAATCGAAAGCTTCGAAAATTCATGACTCGCTTCGAGATATACTCCGGTCCACAATGGACATCCATAATGATGACGTGAAATCATACGTTATCGTACGCTTTGATGAATTATTTGAAGAAGCCAAAGGGAGAAACAAACACCGCGAGTGAAAAGTAATGGGGATCTCTTGTGTGACCTATCCTGAAACTTAATTTTTTAATATTTCATAATTGATACTCTCTAAATCTGAATCAGTGGATAATCACTGATATCAGTGCCAAGTATGCCACTGGTAATCAGTGAATTAAATGTGAGATTCATAACTGAGCTAATCTTTATTATGTGATCTAACTAACCTTGTTTTGTGCTTAAATTTAATGATATTGGAAGATTGAAATTAACATGCAAATATCAGTATTTTAATTATATAATGCTCAAACATTCTTCCTTTTTTAGTTGAACTTCACTGATTATCAGTGCCAAGTATGCCACTGGGTAATTAGTGACTATTCACTGATTCAGATTTAGAGAGTACGTAATAATTGTAGGATATTACTACAATTGTTATATCTAAAAAGCAATCGATAATAATTTGAGTTGATTGATTTCATCGACGCATATCCCGTGCACCATATTTGTACGCATCGTTAGTTTTCAAGATCGGATAAGAGTCAAGTTGATTCTCAAAGGATATTCCTCAATTTAGTCAATTTAGGAAAGTTACTCTTTAATGATAGCCGATAGCTAAGATATTAGTGATAGTCTTTGAGAGAACGATCGACATGATACTTGTCGATACTTAACTGAATAGATAATCACAAGTCGCATGTTTCCGGTTTAAAAGAAGTTAAGACCATATAATGTATTATAATATTACAAGGGAAAGTAGTGAAAAACATATAGCATAGATGTAAAAAATATCATAAGGTTAAAGAGATAATATATGAGATCGAGTTTAACGTGATTTAATCTCACATATTATCTCTTTATTCTTACAATTTTTTTCCATGTATATATTTTTAATTTGATAAAATTTATAAGGAGAAAATTAATTTAATTAATTTAATTAACTATAAAGAATTATTATTTTTCCGGTTGAAGCAAATCTTAATTATTTCATGCGAATTTATATACATTTCTGATTTCACAAACCGCGCTCCGAAATGTTTTCCTTAAAATCAGTTACAGTTTTTGAAAAAATGTATTGGTATTTTTATTACTCGTCTGTCTATCTCGATAGAATGAAACTATCAATGCTACGAGATACGTGTTAAGAAAGTCTTGATAGATATCAATCAATCAAGAATAAAAACTAACAATGAAAAATAAACAACAATTCAAGGAAAACTTGCATCATTTGTCTCGTTTTTACATTGAGAATAAATCTACTAAATTTTAATAAATATTTGTTTATATAGTACTATATTAACAATTGCGAAATATTTACTAAATAAAAAAAGTGATACATAAAATTAATGGTTCCTATATCAAATAAATTATTTTTGTCCAAATAAATATATATGTTTACGTTTAGTAAATAATCGGCTAGGACCATTCAAAGAAATGTTTATTAAAATTTAGTACATATTTCTCTCAGTATAATATAAGAAAAATCTACAGTTCGGTATTAGAGTATCGTTCATCGGAGTATATTAAATTAAATATCATTATGCCGTACAATCGATGTTAAAAGCGAAGTAGATGGTCGATACTTTCCAATATCGGCGTATCGGTGACCCTAATCGGCGGATTCGCCACGCGCACCGATAGCGGGCGATTAATCGCCCGAGGGAACGGGTTTGTCGGAAATGAAATATCTGGGTAGAAAATCATGCTCGACCGTAAAGGATCGACCGCTCTCTTCCTCATTTAAGATTGTAGGGGCACGTTGTCGCTACCTATACACCATAGTGGGTACACTCGCGTATAGCCATTACTGCCGGGGCTTCCTCCGATCTCGCTCGCGGCGGCTCGACCGATCGAAGGGGATTATTCGTCCATTATGGATTCGTAACTATCGACGACTGTCCGGCGCGTCGATGAATATTATTCCTCAAATTTACGCCGAAAGCGTTTCGACATCATTCATATTCTTCATCTGATCAATCTTATCTGCCCCGCGATATTGGAGTCCTACTTTCTTTAATCATTACGATCGAGAATCCCTCGGTTACGATATAAAAAGCAATTTTGTGCAATAACTTGATCAGTGCTCGATTCAAGCGATAAAGTAAAGAGATGTTTAAACACGAGTAATCGTCGAAGAAAAATATTCGACTTTCATCTCACGCTGATATAATGAATGAAACTTTAGATAAATCTCCATATGCCATCAGATAGAATGAATCTGATATATATTTGATATTTTTTCTCTTGTACTATTATATTTTTGATATTATTTTGTTATACTTTATTTTGTTTTCCTATAATTTTTGACATCTAGTTTAACTCGAATAGCCTATTATTTTGATATATTTGTGTGTTGAATTAAAATGTTTAATATTTCTTGAAAAAAATATTGCCGTTTTTTGTAACTGTAATCGATGCAAAAATTAGAAAGGGAGATATCAAGAAAATTTATCGCTAATTATGCGATCGATTCAAAATTCCATACATATTAATTACGTATTAATAAGAAGAATTAATGCAATTACTTTCTAAATCGGTCCTCTTTTACGTACCAAATAAATTGCCAGTCTCTGTTCCCTTTCAAAAAGACCGCCACTCAAGGCGAAGCAAATATTTCGTGATTATGACAGTATATAATTGCGGTTTTCGATATTCGTCCTTGAACTCGCTGTTGAGTGACGTCGAGCATAACTCTTGTAATAACTCGCTACTTATATGCCACTTTGGGTCCGCGCGCGCGGGAACATCTCGAGGGATGCTGCCGTTCGAATAATCACGAAGAAAGCCGGCGTATTCCCCGTGGACGGGATTCCCTTCTCGCGTGATGCATCCGTGGCGGTGTATCGTAACGCTAATGCGCCATGTTTTCGCGAGTACCGGCGGCATCAACGCGCGATCATCGTGTCAATAAAAATAATCGACTGTCCAGAACTCGCGGAAGATATTTATCTGCAGTGAAGAACGCATTTGTTTGGCCAGTCGCGACCAAAGTGCTCGTGGATAACGAGAGAGAAAGAGAGAGAGAGAGAGAGGGAGGGAGCTGAGGGAGAGACAAGTTTACCTTCGTCTCCCGGAGGAAATTACCGTAGATAGAGATGATACTTGCTAGAGAATGCATTCCCTGATCATCCACGCAATTGCACGCTAATGATATTATAAAGCTGGATAAACTTCTTTTTAATTTTGATAAATAATAACGATATCTTTCCAAAGTCCAACGTGCTATTAACTTCTTTTCTTTTAAAGCATCATTGTACATCACCTCTGACAAGAAGAATCTTTCTTTTAAGGATCTTCAATAAGAAAAAGAAACTTAATTGCATTACACATGTAATGATATTTTAATTATCATAATATATTTTGTTATTATAGCGTTTTTATTATTAATTTTATTGTTTAATAAAAGAAAAAGATTAATTTTATTGTTTAATAAAAGAAAAAGATTTCAAATTAGTGCAGAATTAGATGATATACTTTATAGAAAAAAATCTTTAATTACTTAGTGTATTTTTCAAATTATGAATTTTATAAATTTTTCAAATTATAAATGATGATTATTTGCTTACAATTACTTGTCAATTAATGTTTTATCTATATTTTTATAAATAGAACCGACGTCTCAGTAGTGAAAGTATTAGATTTATGTAGGAATATGCGCAACGAGATAGTCAGAAGATTTAATTAAATTCTCGCTCAATCGCAGTTCGAAATGTCTTGTAGCAATATGAGAGTTTAAAGGATATTTAAAGAGTGCCAGAATAACTAAGACGATTTTCAGATATCGTCGTAGATTTTTTATTTTCGTATTTTCTATTCAACGATCGTTTTCATCGCGAGATAAAATTATATCCTCCCTAAAATTGATTAAATTGGAAATCGGATAACATAATATTTAACTCGGCGTTACTAAGGCAGAATATATAACAAATTTACCTATTTATTTATATATGTATTAGGTACCTCGGAAAATTCATGCCGTTTTTTCTCCTATAAACATCTCTTGTTTATAAAAAACGACATAAACTTTCCGCGATACCTAATAAATATAGTGTTATTTTCTCTTACAACTGCTCCGCATCTATCATTAAAAAAAGGTAAAGATTAAAAGTCAAAAGTCATTAATGATATATATTTATATCAATTTTATTAGTATGACTTGATACCAACCTTAGTTTAAAATATTCTAAAAGTTTTTACTCTCTCACATAAATAAATATTCCAATATTCTAAATAATTTTTTAACACAGATTGGCAGCCAGGGTTTAATAAACTCCTTAGCAATCGTGTCACGCGCTTCCGTTTTAGTGACGACGCGTTAAATACGAATCCCTCTTGGTGTTCCGGTTCGTTTAGCTGTAAAAGATACGTTGCAATTTCGACTCACCACCAGTTGGCTTGCGCGCCGCTTTGCCACGCGACGATCAGCAAAGACACGAGCAGGTAGCTCATTGACATGACGAGCGTAAGTTGTTGCGTGCGGCGATCCCGTGTGGACTTTCTTTCTCTCTCTCTCTCTCTCTCTTTCTCTCTATTAACTTGACCGCCGAATTCCTGAAGTAGAATCTTCTCGTGGTAAGCGCGAAGGAGAGAAGAGATTACGTAGGCCGTTCGTGCTGCCTTCTTAGCCTCGCATTCTTACATGCGCCGCCGACGACGGTCCGTGTTTCGCATCGTTCTTTCCGCGAACGCGAGCGATATATCGGCGTGCGAAACGTCGGGCTGTGAGATCTCCGATCGCCGAAGATCGCGCGCGAAAGAGAGAGACGGAGCGTGTCCAGGACCAAGCGATTTCGGAGCGCGCGACCGGAGCGGATCGACACTCCGCGGTACCCGCCGCGTCACCTTTTCTCGCGCTCTGCCTCTGTGTTCGAAAGACGGACGAAAGTTCTCCAGCTTCGGTCCCTCGTCTCGTCTTACATGTTTCCGACGACGCGCGACCGATTCGAATGCCGTTACAGCGACGCAATCGAATAACGCGGACGGAGCCAATCGGCTCCTGTAAATCGTCCGACAAATCGGTTCTCGCTCCGAAAAATCTCGCACGGTCCTCCGAGCGAGTGCGGGAGGATATGCGAGGAGATTTAACGAGATCTCAGGAATTTGAATTTCGAGACAAAACTTTCACGCTGGCGAAAAGTCGCGAAGCAAGAACAGACGTCGCGAACCACAACCGGAGTCGGCACGACCGAGACGACGCTCCGTGAACGTTCGCGTACGGACTGTGGCCGGTACTGCCGGTAGTCACGAGGAAAAGGGCAACGGGGCTCTCATGGTGGGCGGAGTCGCCGTACGTTCGTAGCTCACCGATTGGTCGCGTCGTTGAAGAGCCTCCGAGGCTCCACTCGCGCTAATTAAGCATTTCGGCACACCGGCGACGGGACGGTGCGAGCGCGTACGCTCGCTCGCTCGCTATTCGTTCCTCGGACTCGCGTTTGTCTCACCGAATCCGACTTAACGTGAAACGCGACCGCGGCTATTCTGCGTCGCCTCGAACCGTTTCGTCGCTCGAGATGAGAAATCATCTCGAACTCAAAAACCGACGTTTGAAATATACCGCTATATTCCGCACCGTGTACTGTTAGATATCAAAGCAGCAATGGCAACTTAATCCCTCGAGTTAAATAATATTTTGTTATTTTTCACTTCCATATGTGTCAAAATGTAAATCAATCCATTTTTATAATTAATTTTAAAATAAAAACTCATATTGACGTATGACTTAGTCAGATAATTAACTATGTTCGAGTCAAATTTAATACATTTTCAATAAAATTGTTTAACTCCATTGTTTTAGTTATGTAAATTAACGACACATTGAATAGGCGATCTATAGAAATGATTAAAAATAACTCAAATTGGATATAATTTTATATTATGAACTTGTATTGATACTAACAGTGTATCTTTTTGCGTACTAGCGCATGGTGATAAATATGATAAGAATCACGGAAAAAAAATAGATTGAGTGGTATAACAAAGTTAAAACTTACTGCGAATTCAACGTCTATAACTGAGAAAATTTGATGGTTTAACAAATCGCTGATGTTATTCAACTGTCAACTTTGTTATGATATATTATAGAAAATTGACTGTCCGTATATTACGACTGATTTGCTGAATCAGCGAAATTTTTAGCTATTTTTTTCCGTGTATCGCTCGAAAATATTATTCTCGGCTGCTTCAATAAGATGCCACTTTTGACAGATACAAAAATTAATTAGGAACAAAAGTTGGCTGTGACTATTATTTTTAAAATATTTTAAAACAATTCAGAAACGTAATTTAATTTTTTTCTGTCTAACGAGGTGACGGAGAACTTGTTACGGTAATTAAATGATTAATAATTCACATATAGGGATATTCTGAATAATCAACAATGACTTTCTTTGAAAGAAATATTTTTTATATTTCGAAAAAAAGGGCATTGCCATCATAAAAATTATGTCTCTTGTTACATTAAAAACACGAAAGTGAGAGAGGAAAACGCTAAACATAACGTTAGTACGTAAATTTGTTCAAGCAATGGCAAATACCAAATGCGAGTGATTTTAAATATTTAACTTTCTGTTGCGCTTAAATTATCTTACTTGTTTAAGAAACAAGTTTAATATAAAAATAAACAGTATTAAACAAAGAATTTCTTAGGACCGTAAATGCACAACGGAATAAATTCCTTAAACGGTTAAGCTGGATCTTACTAATATTTTATGTGATTGGGATAAATTTAAATATATTTTTGTGGTATAATATTAATTCAAATCAATGTTGCTATTTTCTGAATTACAAATTTATCTTTATTATGCGCTACAAAGATATTATCTGCCAATCCGCGACTTTCTGTTCCACATCTTAACACTCATGTCGTACGTGTAATTTATAACAGTATAATATGGAATTAAACCCGATATAATCTCGGTATATGAAGATATGTGTGTTAATTGCGTATCTTATTATAAAACCATAAAAATGATTTTCCATCAAATTTGGACTTACTAAAATCATTCTACTTTCAAACTTTATAACAGCATTATGAATTATAACGAAAAAATAAGTTACATATGTATGCGAAATAACTACAATAATCAATCAAAAGCATATTAATATTTATTATTTTATTAAAACATATATATTTTAATTTGAATAAATAAAATTCATATTTTATTTACTAAACATAAAACATTTAAAGATCTTGTATTTTCAAGGTATAATAACAAAACGGAATTCGATTATATTGATTTTAATTCATTATTTTAGCAGATGGTTCTAAAAAAAAAAAATTGACCTAAATGGTCAATATTGTTGCACAATATTTGGTATTGCACAATATTATTTATCGTGTCTGGAGCTATATTCAACTTCCAAATTGTTTACTTTGAATTGTTTAAAACATTATTAATATTATACAAAACAATTATATAATAATAATAAGCGTCTAGGGACCGCTTTATAGATGTAAAATGACAATTATGTAATTTATTATGTATTTTAATTAATTTATTGAATTCGTACTAATTATTTACATTTGTTTAATCAAAATCTTTGGAAAGTTTGAAAATTTAAAAAAATAAGCAAATATTTTAGCTATTGCAGAAAAATCACTTTGCAGATGCTATAACTTCATGCTTTCTTATAGTCATATTTTAACATATCACATTTTAACATATGTGAATGATGATTTTGATTCTTACATATTTATCTGCAATATATTCGGTATAATAATTTGCAGTTTTTCTTGTTAATACTTACGATGTCAAATTTCCGAATAAATTAACTATTTTTTTCTCTTTTCGAAAAATATGTTTTTTATGTCTTTATATTTTTATAATATCTTTTTTTAATATATCATGAGGCTAACGCTGCCATCTGCGGGCCTAATAGGCAATTTATAAAAGCAACAGTGGGTAAGGATTCGGATAATATACGTAATTATATACTTGACAAAAGTATTTTTTATATTTACACAATTTATATATGACACAATGGTAAATTATTACAAATAAATTGAGATAAATTAATCAATATTTCGACATTAGTAACAATATAAATTTTATGTTGTGTTTTTGTTAAGCGTAACATAATACATTTTCGTTAAGAAACACACACTTTTCTTCTCTTATCTAATCGCAAAGGAATGGATACCAGTCTAAATATAACGACACAAGATTTATTTTTATTATTAAACAATAAAATTATTTTAAAAATGAGAAATATATATATATACATTTAACAAAGCAGAAATTTCTCTGATGACAAAAGTGCTTTGGTAATTTGAGCTATACCGTGTCACATTCACATCAATTTATACTCAAGGCACTGTCACTGTATGAACAAATTTTGAATTGACATGTATTTTATATGACAAATGGAAACCATAATTCTTAATTTGACAGCTGATTAAAACAGTATTTAATGTTATTAAAAAAATTAAGACAAACAAAAATATATCACATTTGTTGTTTGAAAATATTTTGTATAGTCATATGGTTGCAAATTCTGCTTGTCGCTGTGAAGGATTATGATAGAGACCAGCCATCGCTTCCTGCAATGCTCGTAAGCATGCAACATGTGCCTTAAATCCTCCCGCTCTTTCAACCTGACATTCGTTACGTATATGTGAAACATATCCACGAGCTTGGAGTTCTCGCCAGTTGGGTGGTGACGGACCTTCTATCTGTTGCCAGATAGGCGTGTAAGAATAGAGAGGTCCCTCTTCTATCTTTGGCACTGTGTAGTTCTGATTTCCTTGATTACCAAATTTAATTCCTGTACTAAACTGTGTTGCCCTAATGGAGGATAAGGCTTTTGCTTCTTTCTTCTGCGTCTGTATTGCGGAAGCAAACGATTCAACGATGTTTTTAGCATTTGCATCAGAGAATGTTAGCTCGTCGATCAGAGCTTCCTTCTCGCGAATCTTTTTCTTCTTTGTCTCAACTTCTTCCTTTGCAATTTCTATCCTTCTTTCTTCCTCTTTCTGCTTTTCCAATTCTATCATCTCTTCTAGTTCGTACTCGTTTCTGCCAAGTTTAGCTTTACTTTTTGCTATTTGTTCTTTGTTATCTTTTTTATATTGCTCTATTCTTTTGTTTGTTTCAACTATATCAATGTTATTGGCCAGATTGTATATTACAGTCTCAATTTCCTCTAAATAATCATTATATTCCCTTAACGTGGAAAAGTCTTCTTCTCTTTTATTAAAATCCCGTAGGATACGTTTCCGTATATTCACTTCTTTTTCAACCATAGAATCCTCAAACATTTGAACTCTAAAGTTCGTCCTCCTCAGTGGGATTTTGCATTCTGGACACGATCCTGAGCCTAAATAATTTAATTGTAAACATTATTAAAATTACACTCTCTATTTTCATTAAATAAAATATAATAAAATATAATAAATATTCATGAAAATAGAATCGAACCTTTTAGAAAGAGCAGATCCACACAGTTCTCACATAATGTATGGCCACAGACGTTTACCATCAACTTTAACGATGGATTTCGGTATTTGGTGGTTTTACACCGTGGACACGCTTGCTCATCCATCTTCAGGGGAGAAAATAATAAAATAGATTTGACAAAACACGCGTTTTTGCTGGTTCAGAGGTTACTCGTAAATGCAACACATCTTAACTTACGTTAAAATTGGTGATATTTCTCGTACGAAGTTATAAGTTAAAATAACTACTTGAACTGTCACTTACAAACTATCTAATATTACGTTTTGATATCATATTTAAATTATTTTGCTTATAATTGCACACGATGCATGCAACCTGATGCAGCTCTGGCAACATAACCTACAGTGTAGCCAAAGCTACTTTTCAGCACACGCTTCTGTCTCTCACATAATATCGAATCGCCTATCGATAGATTATATGTCGAATAATATGAATTCGACTTGAAAAGAAATAAATTTCGTTGTACGTACATACAGACTCGATTTTATTCTCTT